ATATTTCACAATTTGATTCAAGTGGGTTATGAGCTCCCATTTTTACCCCATATACAGATTGCAGAATCACATCAGTTACACATCCATTGATTTACATATTGCCATACTAATGTCTGTTGTATTCTGCTGATGGCATTCATTTTTGTTCCCATAGTGCTAAGCCCCTGATGCCTTAGGAAAGTGCAGTTTGGGGATTCCCATGGTCATCCTTGAATGACAGTGGCTTTGCCAGGGCTCTCTCCCATTATTTCTGTGAGCATACCCAGTTGTGAAATTCTACTAATTAAGAGCTGGTTGCTTTATTATTTTCAATATTTTCCTAAGGGAATAAATTTCTCTACAAACTTCTCCAATCAAATTCTGACTAATTTGGAAGAATATTTTCGAGGTCAGTGTTGGGTATTTATTTGTCTAATGTCAGGAGGGCTCCTCCCAACTGTCTTGATTTCAGTTCTGTCATGAAAACTAGTGGGTTTACAGTCTGGGCTGGATCTTCATTAGATCCATGAATCACCTCCCAGTTCCTTTCATTTAACCTCCACTGTTCCTGAAAACACCTTTAGGTTGAAACTTCTCCATGCTCTGTCACAAATAAGGTAGTTCCTTTGGGAAGAAATTAGGTGCTCTTTTTCATAGTCTGCTTTTCCTCCTGGGCAAAATCTTTAAACCAGGACTCTGGATACTGGGGTCAGGGCAATAACAAGCTTCTCTCTTGAGTGATACTCAGAGCCCTTGGGAAAGGAAGTAGTACTCGTAGCCCTCTCAGCTTGCCTCTCCTGTCATAGAACCACCACTTCTAGCAGGGAGAAAAGGTACCCCAGACACAGTATTCTCAGTGAGCCAAAAAAAGGAACCAATCCTTGCTGCTGCTCAACCACTCTCATGCAGGAGAACTTCAGTAACAGGAGAGAAATGGGAGTATGGTGAGAAATGCTTGTGTCCTGCTCCTTAGAAAGGAAAGACCTGGCTGGTATCTGGAAGGAGAGGTAGCTCTATTTTATTGTCTACAGCAGTCTGAAATGGAGTCTCTTCCTCCTTTAGCTACAGTCTTGATTCAAATGCCATAGATTCTCACCTTTCTTACTGCATTGTCATCGATTTTCTTGAATAGATGTTTCTTTATTTGATATGCACTTTTAGGACCATTTCAGAAAATTATTAAATGGTTGTGTTTTTAATACTTTTCACTAGTATCACTGTGAAACTGAGTCTGTCTCAGTTTCCCTGTTTTTACAACCTGTCAATCATTTCAGTAAGACTCTTGGAAGAGATATTGGACAATTATGCTTATATAAGTCATATTTATCTAAATCTAGTCTATTATTTCCCTCATTTTAACTCCAGAAACTAGCACTGTTCTCTACATGTAGTATGTTCACAGTGTCACTTGCCTGTGATTCCAATATTCTAGCAAGAAATGTCTGGGAGTCCTAAAAATAAGGAGGCAGGGAATTAACAGTTACATAGTGGTCCAAAGCATGGATGATGAGTATTGGAACTAATTTCACCACTTCCTGGGTGGGTGACTTTGTTTATCCCATGCTTTAATTAAATTCAACTAGCAGATAAAGTTCTCATGTCAGTAGCATATGTGTTCAATATTTTCAGCATATACTTGATATATGCTAATATTTCAGACATTGCTAGGATGTGTGTATGTACAGTATATACAAAGAATATGTGGTATAGGAATCTTCCTGTGGTTAAGTCTTGCTATCCCTTTGTCCCCCATGATCCCTTGCACCTCCAGGATAGGAAGCATTAGTTTATTTTAGCCTTTATCATCACTGTGATCTTGGGAAACACATATCTCTTTTTCATAGTGGAGCTCAAATGGGGATTTGTCCCAGAATCCAGGGGATTCTGTCCCTGAAGTACATCTAGCACAGAATATCTGATTGAAATTTACTGAAGACTTGGGAAGATTGGAAAGGGAAATGGACTCACTGAAGGCATGCCACTCAGTGTTTCACACAGGCTAGATCCACTCAGGCTGCTGCCATCCAGACACAGTACCCCTGCACCCTCCACTCAAGAGCACACCTCAGTCTTCTTAAAGTCCTGACCTAAAAGAGTGAGAATCTTCCCTTTCCTGTCCAGCTGGCCTCCTGCCCAGGTCCAGGCCACATTCATCCCTACACAGCTGCTCATGGAGTGGTGAGGTACTCTATCTACACACTGTGGGGACATTGTGGCGAGTAAGTCATCACCAGCCTCACCACAGACATTATCTACAGGGGTGTAGATAAAGAGCAAAAAACAGGCTGCTGACCAATAGTCATAAGTGCCAGGAATAAATAAATGAAGAGTTACTGAGTAGAGACATTTCCTGAGATCTTAAAGTTGAGAAGGAGCCAATACCATAAAAAGCAAAAAGAAAAGTATTCCAGGTGAAAGGAACCGCAAAGACCCTATAGCAAGGAGAAACATCAAGGTGGCCATTGCAGCTATAGCACAGAGAGCTGACAGAAGGTAGAAAAATCAGTTGGGTCATAACACATAGGATCTTGTGGGTCTTCCAGGGAGGGAAAGTAACTTCTGAGGGGACTGGAAGAGGAAAGTGACATATGACAAATTTTAGAGTTTCCTTGGGTTGTTCAGTGAATGAGACTCAAGCTGTCCTCCTTTTGAACGTACAGAATGGTAGTGGTAGCAGCAGAGTATCAGAAATGGACAATTCTGATGCTTATTTTAATGTAGAACCCTCAAGCCCTGCAGCTAGGTGGGGAGTACTGGCATTGGCCACCCCTTCCTGTGAAGTTCATCCCACTCACAAAGGCTTGGCATGCAGGCTTCAAAGGACACCCATAGGAGAACACAAATGATGACCCTCCATGTAAAAGAGCCTGCATTCAAGAAGAAGGTAGTGGGGCCGGGGTTGTGGCTCAGTGGTAGGGCATTGGCCTTGCATGCATGATCCTCGGCACCACATAAAAAATAAATAAATAAAAATAAAGATATTGGGCAGGGATTGTGACTCAGTGGCAGAGTTCTTGCCTTGCCCGTGTGAGGCACTGGGCTCAATTCTCAGCACCACATAAAAATAAATAAACAAAATAAAGGAATTTTTTAAAATAAAGATATTGTGTCCATCTACAACTAAAAAAAAAATCTTTTTTTTTCTTTTTTTTAAATTTTTTTTAATTGGTTGTTCAAAACATTACAAAGCTCATGACATATCATCGTTCATACATTTGATTCATTGAAAAAAAAAAAAAGAGGAGGAGGAGGTAGGGGAAGAACTGTTCTTCCCAAAGTCAGGAAAGAATGGCAGCAGGGACAGAAAGTGTGAATGCTGATATGGAGAGGCCAGGAAAGGAGAAAAGGCACACACACTCCCCCTAGAGGAGTAAAATAAACAGGAAAAAGAGAGTGGGCTTTAATGTACAGATTCGGTCAAGGCATCATCCAGTGCCCATCAACTGAACACCCAACAACAATGTATTGTCTTGGGCAGGTGTAATTTACCTAGAACTCTGGTTGCTATTGCTCCAGCCCTCTGAGTTGCTAGGGCAGAGGAGGACAGTATCTATGAAGATGCAGGGTTCCTTATGGTACAGAGGTAAGAGCACCTATGGCTTAGGGATGGAGATAGGCTATGGGAAATGAACCCCAAGTGGAGAAAAGGGGAAAAAAATGCTCACTTTTCAAGGGTCCACCCCATGATGGCTCTGCATGCCTCTTATGTCATCCTCACTACTGGTAATACCTATGGCACTTTACACTTGAACTAACTCCCAAGGCTTAGAGTGTGCGCGTGTGTCTGTCCATCATGGGGGACAGGTGGTCAGCAGCCTTGATGGGCCTCTATTAAGACTTCTCTCACACATCTCAACCTCCAAAGTAACACCAAGTCTTCCGCTGTTTTTCACCTCCTAGATTTAGTATTTCATATAATGACTTGTTGATTGTTGCTTTGGAGGTATCTCACCACGTAGGCACGACGAACCTACAGAAGGCTCAGGAGTGTCTGAGATAGTCAAGGGAACATCGGTGAAGCTTTCCTCCCCTCCCAAAAGAAACACCTGTAATCTGTGACACCTTGTCATGAGCCTTTAGGCCCCCAAATTTTTGTTCCTGGCACTGGACTTTTCCATGCATATTGTAACGTGTGCTTTGACTCTACTTTTTACAACCCCATAAACACGCAAACCAACCTGCCAGCCCATACTCTCTGGGTAGGGCACGACCCTGGCCACCAGCTGTTAGGGAGATCAAGGGTGATAGTCCCCACTGACCGGGTGCGAGCCGGGCTAGGGGCGGGGCGGGGCGTGTTTTCCCGGTCCCAGAGTGCGGTGCTGGCGGCCGAAGTCTCTGCCTGGGACTGAGCGCGGCCTCCTGCCTGCGCCTCTCACCAAAACGGAGATGTAATTCTTGCGGAGAAAACCTCCAGCTCTACTCACCACCACGTGTCCACTCTTGAGAATGACCGTGTCCTAACACACGAACGTCAATCCTGGCGGCAGCTGCGCAACCCCGTGGGGACCCAGGGCCGCTCTGGGTCCCGGTGCGCCGCGCCCGCGCCCGCCGCCGCTCCTGGTCTGCGTGCGCGCGTGCGTGAGCGCGTGCCGCCCGGGCCCGCGACCCGCGCAGGGGTCGCAGCCGCGGCTCAGCGCCCGCGGGGCCGACCAGGAGCGGGCGGCGAACGGATGCGCCTCGCCCTGCCGGGTGGGCGCTTCACCGTTCCTCGAGCCGCGCGCCCCGCGCTTGCAGAGGGTCCCGGCCGCCGCGGCCGCAGAGCCCAAGCGGGCAGCGGCCGGCCGGGAACCTCCTTAGCGGAGCCCCATGATGTCAGCCGGCCCGGAGCAGCGACCGCGCGGCGGCGGGGATGGGGCCGAGGACGCCGCGCGGCTGCCTGCACGCCCCTCGCCCTCCGACGGCGGCGCCGGCCTTGGCCCTGGCCGGGGTTCGCGCGCCCCTTCGCCCGGCAGCCCCGCCGCCGCCGCGCCGCCGCCCCCAGCCCAGCCTCCTCCGAGCCTTTGGTTGGAGCTCGGGCCCACCTGCACGAGGGCGCAGCAATGCCCCAGCGAGTCCAGCGGGCAGACAAGCGGCGATCTCGGCACTAGCAGCAGCAGCAGCGCTGGGCTGTCCCCAGGTTCCGACTCAGACAGCAGCGGCGTGGTGTGCGGCGGCCGCGGCGGCAGCGGGGGCATGCGCGGCGCCCTGTCCCGCTCCTGGAGCTTGGAGAGCCTGCGCTCCGCCACCGCCGGTAAGGGCGCCGCCGCCCTCCGCGCCGTCGGCGCCCTCCGCTCCGGGCGTCGGTCCTCTTGAACTCCTTCGTCCTTCCCTACCCCGCCCCCGCGACTGTCTCTTTTCCTCCCTTGCTTTCTCTATTTCTCCTTTCTGCCACCTGGTCCCTTCCTTTCCATTGCTTTGCCCTTCTGATTTCTCTTTTTCCTAGTTGTCTTAACCATCCCTCCCACCTGCCCCTTTGACTCACTTCCAGAGGTGGAGCACTTGTTACAGCGGGGACCCTGCTGGCTCTGGTAACAGGCCTGTGGTTAACTGGGAAACTGAGTTTTTAAGGCGAGACTAGCATTTGGTCCCTGGATAGGCAGTTTTCCTTGCCTAAACCGTTCTTGACTAGGCACATATCTGGTTTTGTGAACTGCAGCAATTTGACCTCTCTAAGGGTGGGAAGATGAGAGAGAATCTAACAGCGAAGGGTTAGACTGCACCTTCTAGCTGGAGTGTGCCTGGTCCTGGCCCCAGGATGGAGTGGCCCAGCCCAGAAGGGGTTCATCTTGTGCCCCTTGGAACAGGAGTGGTTTTCTGAGATGGAATTGCTTGGGTGTCTCCTGGAACCATATGCTTGCTCCTCTGTCTGCCAGGAGGACCAAATCTGGGTGCTGTTGGAGACAAGACTTCAGCCTTAAATAAAGAGTGAGATAGTCCAGAGTGGTCTTATGAGCAGTGATCAGCTACCCTTGATTAGTTGCTGCACTTTTTGCAAACAATCTACAAACATTTTGAGCCTTTGCAATGGGTGCTGAGAAGACAGTTGTTGCCCAGAAATCAGGGAGGTGGTGCACCTGTAGTGCTTCTGTATGGAGTTAGGGATCCAGCCTATAAAAGTTGCAGGGCCCCACACAGGTATGCGGGTGAGATAGTGTGTTAGATCAGAACTTAAAAGCCAGAGAGGAGTGGAGGGGCATGCAGGTGGGCTCAGGATGGAACACAGGCATGTTGAAAGAGAGCTGTGGCAGGGTTTTGAGAGTACCTTGAATACAGGATTTGGAAAAAGAAAGAAAAAGACATGCTCACTTCTGCATTGAGTGTTACATGACTCCCATCTTCTTTCTTCCAAAGCAGACACATAAAATTCAGAAAAGTTGAGTAATCTGGCTCTTGTCTCCAACTTAAAAGTCTTTCATTGTTCCACAGCTGTGATTCCTTCTCATCTCTTGGGACTTCCCTAGAAACTCCTTTCTCTCCTCTCAGGTGCTTAAATAGAACCAACAAAGTTACCTATCCCTATCTTTTGCCCCAAAGGTTTTCCTTTGACTTCTAGAGTTAGAAGACCTGTGTGATACCATCTCAGCAACTGTAAACCCAGCCCAAAGGGTCTCAATGAGTGCCCTTGCATTTTTTCTTTAGGTCCCAGGAAATGTGTATCAGTGAGACAGTTGAAGATGGCAGAGATTCAGGTTTATTAAGCAACCCTGGAATCCAGGAACTCCTCATACCAGCCCAGGGGCACTGAGGCAGCCTGAATGATCTTCAGATATATCAGGGACATTCTCATGAATATTTAGGGTATGCGTTTGTTGAGGGTTGGTGGGGGTAGTAGGTGAGTAATGAAGTCTAGAAGTCTGTTCCTTAAGAGCCTAAGAGCTGACCCTTTAACCACAGGGCAAGGTTTAAAGCAACACGGTGTGAGACCTGGTAGTGAATGGCATGCTCCTCACAGGATTACTCCAGATGGGCTCAGTATTACTAGGTGTGTAGGCAGCACACTGTGCTCCATGAGTGTTGGGCAGCAATCAGCTATGGAAGCACAAGGAGGAGGCCTTTTAAATCACCTCCTCATCTTCTCTGCCCTACTCCCATCTCACTAACCCCTCCTTGCCTGTTGGTTGGACTCTCAAGAACAGTGATCAGTACTAGATGTGTAAAAGGATACTGGCAAGTTTGCTGTAGAACCGTGTAAGTCCACGAAGCCATCACCTTTCTCAGTTGGATTCCTGAACAGAATTAACCCTGATGCCCTAAGACAGCCATAGAAAACAACAAATTACTTTCTTCTCTTCTACAGTGCTACGAGCTTTTTGCCATCATTGGGAGGCATTGAGAAAAGCACTCCAATAATTCTCTCTGGATTTGTGGTTCAAATGAGGAGGTCTGGTTGGAAAAGGCTACTAGAGAGGAAAACTTAGTGGGAAGAGGAAAGGGAAATGAACATTTACTGAGCATTTTCTATATGCCAGGTACAGGACTGATAATCTACTATGAAAACAGATTGAGAAGGGCTGTAACTCGCTTACGATTGCCCATGAGACCATGTTTGAAGAAAGCTTCAAGCCAGGCTTGATGTGACTTGATGGGGACATGTTGCTAGGTGTGGAGTGGCTGTTCCAGGTCTAGTGAGGAAGGTCAGTGTGCCGGTTTGGTTGTCATACAGAAATAGTGTTGTGGCTAATCACATGCTCACTGTTGTTATTCAGCAGTCACAAATGGGGATGTGCCAGTTTCTCCATTTGCAAAGCAAGGAAATTAAAATCAATGGTCTGACGTCTTTTCCAATAACCTAAAATCCCATGACTCAGTCCAAGGTATTGATTTGGGCTGGGCACTCCCCACTGAGTTGGCATTTGTGGCGTATTGTTTTCCTGTTTGAGTGGACTTCAGGCTCTATGACGAAGCACCTGTGTGTTTAATTGAACTGTGTTTATCTCTTAAGGAAGACTGAAAATTACCAGTAAGGGATCCTTAGAAAAACTTAATTATTGTTGTGTGATTTTTGTGGTGGAGCCTATTGCTAAACATTTTTGGAGCTCCCAGCAAGAACACAAAGGGTCTGAGGTCCGAGGTGGCAGTTTACAGGCAGGGCAGGGAATTAGGCAGGGAAACCAGGTAGGACCCATAGGCTCCTCATTTCCAACAGACTTCTTGAATTTTAAATGTCAACATTTTCCACTGAAATGTCATTCATTCTGCTGTGGAGACAACTTCCCTGAAAGGCAGAATTAGAAAATGAGATGTAGTTGACAGGGTGGAATTTCCATGGCCCTTCTTTCTGCCTCACTGTTCTCATTTTCCCCCAAGCATGGTAGCCTTCAGAATCCTCAGCTAGCACCCTGCTGTTACTGCTGTTACTTGGCTAAGGCTTTTAAAATTTCTGTTGTGGGTGTTTCATCTGACAATCTTAATTTCCAGTCTGGGCTTTCTGGGGTTGATGGTTTTCACTACCTGGCCAAAGTCTTAGGATTTCTTCTTGGGAGAGAACCCAAGCTACCTCCACATTCTTCCACAAGACCCTGAGGCAAGTATCTGGCTCAGGTGGGCATCAGGCTTATGAGCAGACTAGGTCTGTCTTTCATTCAGATGTTTATTTAATACCTGTTCTAGGCACAGTCCTAGGCACTAGTGATAAATGAATTATACAGGTTTCTTGTCGTTAAAGAAATCACAGCATGGTGAGAAACAGGCAGTGACAATCCATTATGACAAGTGTTCTGATGGAGGTAAACCCAGCAGGATGATGTGTCAGGGGTGCTCAAGCCACTTTCACCCTATGGTTTGCTAGAAGGACTCACAGAGCTTGACAATGCTGTCACCCTCTTGGTTCTGCTTTATTACAGTGAAAAGATACAGATTAAAAATCAGGAAAGGGACAAGACATGAAGGGCAGGATTTGGGAGATACCAGGCCCAAACTTGTAGGCGTGCCCCTCCCCTGCATTCACACAAACTATGCTTAATTCACATAGCAATACCTTGTGACAACATGTGAAGAATTGCCACCCAGCAAAGTTCCCCAAGCTTAGGTAACCAGGTTTTTTATTGGAGGATAGTTATTTAAGCATGTAGCACCCACCAGACTGACTCAGTCTCCATCCCTCAAGACGTCACACTGAAACAGGGTAGCTCAAGGCCCCCACCATAAACCACATTGTTTGCATAAAGTATCTGGCAGGGCCCAAGGACCCAGCTGTACAAAAACAAGATATCCCAAGGACTCCAAAGTAATCTCCTATGATTTGGTCAAGGGTCAGTTCTTGGAATGTGTAGGGTTTGACTATTCCCAAAACTTCCCTGCATAGAATCTATTATGGGGCTAGTCCAGAGAAACACTTTGGCAGAAGGAGGTATGGCCTAGGGATGCATTTTGCTGTATTAAGGAGTAGAGAGCACTTTAAGAGAGAAGACCGATGTGTACAGATGCATAAGGATTACAGAGGAAAGAAGCCTGTGGTGCTGAGCACCGGTGCTAGGGTATCACAGGTGATTTGGGGGTATAGCAGTTGCAGGTAGCATGGTAAAATGAGCACAGTGAAAGGGGAAACATCACAAAGGAAGATCAGGCTACACCTCCATACCCAGTAACTCAGACTAATCATGATCCTAGGAGCCACGGAAAGGTTTTCTAAGCAGAAAGTTGATGTGGCACATTGCTTGCTTGCTCTTTCTTTATAATGATTTATTTTTAATGTTATATAAGCAAAAGGCACACTTTGGGGTGTAAAATTCTAAAAGTTTTGACAGATGATATGTAGTCATGTTAACTACAACCATCTCAAACTACAAAATAGATTCATAACTCCAGAAAGTGAGTGCCGCTCTTTGTAATGAACTCCTTTCCTCCCCCTCCAGTTCCTTGCTAATCTATTCTCCATCCCTGTGGACTTGACTATTCCAAAAGGTCATAGTAATGGAATTTCATCATGTGTTGCCTTTTGAATCTGGCTTCTTTTACCTAGTGTAATGCATTGAACTTTCATCCATGTTTTTGCCTTTATCAGTAGTTTTCTTTTCCTTTTAATTACTAAATAGTATTCTGTTAAATAGATGTACCACAGTTTATCCATTCACTAGTTGAAGGATGGTTTCCAGTTTTTGGCTATCGCTATTGCAAATAATGCTGCTATGACCAATAGTGCACAAAACTTTATATGGACATAAGTTTTTATTTCTCTTGG